TCCCAGCCTGGAGGTGGAAAATGGGGCTCGGTTCATGGGAGGCCACCAGCGTTGCAGAAAAATGAATGCAACGTGGGCGGCCCTTCCACAACCTAGGGAGAGTTGGTGGCACCCCCAAAGATGCCACCTAAGCATCTCTCCTCCCACGTCTCTTCTCCACCAGGTCCCTCCCTTACTGGTGGAGCCGTGCGCAGTCGCTCCTGTACTGCAGCGAGACCGCCGTGCCTGGGACTTTCCTGGAAGAAAGCCACAGCTGCACGTGTCCCTCAGACCAGCCCTCCTGCCAGGGGTCCATACCGTGTGCCTTGGGCGAGGGACCAGCCTGCGCCAGCTGTGCCGAGGACAACAGCACCCGCTGCGGGACTTGCAACCACGGCTACGTGCTCACCCAGGGCTTCTGCCGCCCCGAGGTGGCCGACTCGCTGGAGCATTACCTGGGGTTGGAGACGGATCTGCAGGACTTGGAGCTCAAGTACCTCCTGCAGAAACGGGACAGCCGCATTGAGGTTCACTCCATCTTCATCAGTAACGACATGCGCCTGGGGAGCTGGTTCGACCCCTCCTGGAGGAAGCGCATGCTCTTGACCCTGAAGAGCAACAAGTACAAGCCGGGGCTGGTTCACGTGATGTTGGCCCTCTCCCTGCAGATCTGCCTCACCAAGAACAGCACGCTGGAGCCCGTCATGGCCATCTACGTCAACCCCTTTGGGGGAAGCCATTCGGAGAGCTGGTTCATGCCTGTCAATGAGGGCAGCTTCCCAGACTGGGAAAGGACTAATGTAGATGCCTCTGCCCAGTGCCAAAACTGGACACTCACCTTGGGCAACAAGTGGAAGACTTTTTTTGAAACCGTCCACGTCTACTTGCGGAGCCGCATCAAGTCTCTGGATGACAGCTCCAACGAGACGATCTACTACGAACCCTTGGAGATGGCAGATCCCTCCAAGAACCTGGGATACATGAAAATCAACAGCCTTCAAGTCTTCGGCTACAGCCTGCCCTTTGAAGCAGACGCTATTCGTGACCTGATCCTTCAGCTGGACTACCCCTATACCCAGGGCTCCCAGGACTCGGCCATGCTCCAGCTGTTGGAGATCAGGGACCGAGTGAACAGGTTGTCACCCCCTGGCAAAACCCGCCTCGACCTCTTCACTTGCTTGCTCCGCCACAGGCTCAAGTTGGCCAACAACGAGGTGGCAAGGATCCAGTCCTCCTTGAGGGCCTTCAACGCCAAGCTGCCCAACGCGATAGAGCAGGAGACGGGCAAGCTCTGCAGCTAACGGCCAGGGCTGCTCAGATCTTGGAGTGAGGGGGCCAGGAGAAAGAACTCCCCGGGGAGGGGGGGAAGAAAAAATAGCCACCCTAAAAAATTAAATCAAGGCCTTACCTTAGTGCCAACTGTGTGCTTCCATGGTACATCCAGCGACCGGCCAAAGAGACGCAGGGCTCGAGCGGATGGAGGACACCAGCGGGATTATGGAGGAAGGACGGCTCACGCAGCGCAGCTGGCTCCGAGCGTGGGGACGATGGCAGCACGGCCGCCCCACGGCGCTGCTTTTGCTCGAGCACCAGCGGCTGGGGGGACATGCCGATGGCCGGGGAGGGATGCGGCTC